TTTTGGCTTGGGTATCCATTTCCTTCCAGTGAATGACAGCAGAAACTGCCTCCCAAAATCCCACAGTGCTGATAAGAGAAACTGGAAAGGGCAAGACGGAAGCCAAAGGGGGAGGTGGAAGGTACCAGGCTCAAGGGAATCCAACTACCTATATGGCAGGATTCTGATATCTGGGAGGCGAGCCTGGGATGAATTCTCAGGATTCATTTATCATGAAGAAGGCACTTGACATATGAGACCTGAGATGGCTATAGTTGCCTTACAATGGAATTAGTCACACATGTAAATGTACGATTTTCAATATCTTTCTTTGTTCAATAAGATCCTGGACAGCAGTGGTCACAAAGCCTCAGTACCTGGCATAAGATTATTTTCAAGTGGTCTGAACAGGGAGACTATCACTCACACTAGAGAGCCCTTCACTGCCCTATGAGAACTTGACTTTGAGAGCACGTGGCATCACTGTGACTACATACTGTCAGTCCTGACAGGTTCGCTCTTCCAGAACTCTGCTGCATGTCAGCTTGGGAGAGAGAGCAATGCCTGCAGAGAGAGGCTCCAATGGGGGCTGATAGGCTTCTTCCAATTCTGAGATTACACCATCCTACTATTTATTTATTTTTTGACCCCAGGAAAGCATTTTTATGAAGGGAAATTTAGCAGATGGTATGCATTTAGGCCAAAGGAGCCACTGCCTTCTGAAATCTAAAATGCAGAAGTAAGCTATGAGAGTACTTCAAAAAGTGTGTGGTGGGATCAGCAGATGGTGTAATGGTTACATCACTGGATTCTCACATAGTCAACTGCAGTTCAAGTCCTGGACCTGGCAGCTTAATGTTTATAGCATAAGCACACATGCTCAAAATCCTGAAGGAGATGGGATTGTGGCATGGCCATTCCCCTGGGGGTGCATGATTTTTCACTTTCTGTCTATCTCTCCAACAAGCACACACGCCCTAAAGCAAATCTCTCTCTCAGGAAAAAAAAAAAAGAAGTGTGTGGGAAAGTGGTTTTATTTTGGTGCAAACAATGTTTGACATCCATGTCTATTATATTCATAATATGCATTTACCATGAACACTTTGAAGACCCCCCCCCATTTATACACACACAGAGAAAAATGGAGTGTCTGTAAACTTTCAGTGTGTTGTAAGGGAGCTAATAAGATGATGCAGCCATATGCTGGGCCAGGGGTGTAGAGAATGAAGAATTTCCCAAGCAGGAAAGAGGAAATGGAGTGTGCAACTGCTGCTATTGCTAAATGGGGTCTCTAATTTCTCTCTCCATAAGGGTAATGAGTTACATTTATATACTGCCTTTCATCAGTGCTGATCTCAGGGAGCACTCACAGCCCTCTCTGATTCACCTCCAAAATCTGGTCTTCAATAGACTAAAGGTAGACAACTATATTTGTGTCATGTCTATTCTAGAGAAGAATAGACAATGTGAAATAGGACATGAATCTAGAGCGAAGATGGAAAGAGTAGAGAGAGAATTTGTAGAAAATGCAAATGGGACTCTCAATACCATCCAGCTGAACAAACACCAACCAGATGATGTCTCTGAAAAATCTGAATACTTCCTGTAACCTCAGCCTTATCTCATCGCCTCCCACCTTTTCATGGAGCTTGACACTCTTTGGAATGTATCACATCAAGGTGAATGCTCTTCAGGGAATCTTGACACATTCTGACCTGGTTTCAAGTACTGCTAAAAAACCAGTTTTTTGCCCTTATGTTTTTTTTTGGGGGGGGGTGGGGGTGTGGTTGGAAATAGAGAGGGTATTCAAGATATAGGAATGAAGAGGTTGAAGCTTGGAAAGGAAGGGAATTATAGGGAATCTGGCCTGTCCCAATAAGATAGTCAAAAATGTCCAGTGATACCAGGCATAAATCATAGGTAGACAAGCCACCAACAATAGTTAATTAAAATATCTGGGGAGGGGCCAGCAGGTGGTGTGGTGGTTAAGGGCACTGGACTCCCACATGATTGACATGGTTTGAGTCCCAGACCTGGCAGTTTGCTTTCTCTCTCTCTCTCTCACTCTGTCTCTCTCTGGTCCAATAAAAATAAAAATAAATAAATAAAGTTAAATAAAATAATTCTTTAAAATATCTGGGGACAGGAGCCAGCAGGAGGCGTAGTAGTTAAGGTGTTGAACACTCACATGGCTGATGATGGCTCAAGTTTCCAGATCCAGAAGTTTGAGACTCATGCCAGGCACATGTGTATGCATGCCCAAAACCCCAAGAGGAGAATAGAGGAGAAGGGATTGCAGTGTGGCTATTCCCCCTGGGGAGGGTGATTACTCGCTTTCTGTCTTTCTGCCTCTCTCTGTCTTTCCAGTGAGCACACGTGTCCTACAGCAAAAATCTCTCTCTCTCTCTCTCTCTCTCACACACACACACACACACACACACACACAAATCTGGGGAAAACAAATGATAGAATATAGAGATAAGCATAAAACAATGACAAAAATAACTCAGAGAACTGGATTTCAGTAAGGACAGAGGTAGAAGCTCTGTCCATGTCCAGGTTTTCAGATTGATATTTGAAAAGGTTAGGCCATAAGGATTTGTTCTTCACTGGTTGGGAATTGAAAAAAGAGATGTTTTCTTTCCTAATTACTCTTCTGTGCAATCATCACATAATCACTGTATAGATACCTTACGGAAGATCAATGGAATTCTGAGGAAGAGAGCGGTGATACAGAGAAGCGCTGGCTGGGAACCAGGACTTGGGTTCCAGATTTGGTCTTAACTAGTTGGGTGACATGTGGTCAAACTTCAATACAAAGGGCAAAGCCCTGGGCTTAGAATTAGAAGTGATGGTTTTTGGAATTGGGACAGTTTGTTTGATCTCTTTGCCCTCAGGGTCCCAATCTGTAATATAAGAATGAAAGTACCTGTCCTCTAAGATCACAGGAAAGGTGTTATGAATAAATGTCTATGAAATGACTTTTTAAGAACTAAAAGAGTGTACACAAGAGGTCTGGCTCAAGCCCTTGAGTTACAGATGAGCAGACAGTATCCCTGAAGAAGCAGAATATTATGCTTGGGGCCACACTGAGTTCACAACAGAGGTGGGCCTAGTACCAAAGATCAAAAAAGATGGGAGAGGAGGTAAGGAGAATTTTGAATCCGGTGAAAATCATGTAAGTGCAAACACACAGAAAGCTGCTAAGTCAGAGTATGGGCATGATTAAAGATGCACATAGTGACTGGGGAGGGAACCCCATTTGGGAAACTCAGTGAAGTCTGCCAGGAGCCAGTAATACAGTATGGCTACAGAAATCCCACTAAGAACTATAACACACCTAACAAGCAAAAACAGTTAGTTTAGAGTTTGCTTTTCAGGTCTGTTAAATTAGGTGTCCACCTCAAAGCTGTTATTATTTTCTAGTTAAATTAATGCCCAGAAAATACAAGAATAGGGACACCTCTGTCCAGGGTTAGCTTAGGTCTCATGGATTATTACATCAATTACCATCAGTAACATCAAATTTCTCACAGTCAAGTTTAATCGAGTGTCTCTTGTCTTGGTAGGCTTAACCCAGGCTCTGCACAAAACCAAGCACCTTCAACAAAGCCTAATGATGAGAAAGGACAACACCCAGATGACCATATCACTTTGGGCAGACATAAAGTGCGGGCCCTTTATCACCTTCAGCAAATGAAAGAGACTGCTAATTGGTCTCTTCATTAACCAAGGAGAACATCTATGGCTACAACTCATAACTAGTGGCAATCTCAGGTGATCTTTAAGTGGTTTTTAACTTACAGTCATAATTCCTCCTGAAATCTGCTAGCCTAGAAAATATATGTAATTCCTTATGAATAGACTGTTCTTACCTTCACTAATCATGGATTCACCAGGGAAGAGAGGACAAGAGAGAGGTTCGCATGATAAAGAGCAGTGAAAAATGACACCCAAATGTTCAACATGGATGATTAGTCCCTTAAAACAGGACTTTGGCCAGAAGGCTTTATATCATTTGAGAACAGGAAAACATAAGACATTCTTTTAGCTTTTGCAACTTCCAGAAAGGAGTTTCTGTTGGTTACCTAGTAAATATGGCTCTGTTTTTCTATAGGAGTCTTATCATTTATTCGATGCATGGATAGGGACAGAGAAATGCTTTTGCAAACCACTGAGGCTTACATAGCAGAGAAGGATTTGTAAGGGTGGGCAGTTTAGCCAGGAAATCATGCTAGCAACTGAGAAGGAATAGGGTCTTTTTAATAGCAACCAACACTTCAACGTAGAGATTAGTGAGCCTAATCCAGTTAAAACACTAAGAGACATGGCGGCAAGGTCCTGTGGGAACAGGAGATACACAATACCTTCCAGCCAGCCCTCTTCTCCTTAGTGCAGGGAAATCACAAGTATGTGAATTTATAAAGGTTTCACTTTTGGAGCCTGTCTAGGGCAGCTTATCAAATACCCACAGATAAGAGAAAACGATAAGTCTTGGGTCTGTGGCTCCCTGATCAATTAGACCTCTGGATTCACTGTCCATTAGCTTACAATGACAATGAAGAGACTTTTTACCTAAATTGTATGACTTTGAGGAACAGTATGTCAGATAAACTAGACATTCATTCCTGCTCAGCTATGGCGTTTTGGAGATCTTATTAGCATCGTTAACATTTCAGAGGCTTTATCCAACTTGCAAACTATACCATTAAGTCAGATAAAGAGCTAAGAATAGCATCTTTAGTAAAAGGCATAAATATAGTGGGTGGGGTTATAACCTAGGCAGCTCTTGGGGCTGCCTCTGGGTCCATAGATAGCTTCTCAGGCAATGGCTCCACTAGAGAGGAAGTCAATGAACACCAACAACGATCAAACTCTAATATGCCAGGAAACCTATTTTAATTTGATTTTCACCTCTTGGGAAGTAGTGAACATAATGCACTAGAGATGATGAGCATCAGAAGAACAAAGCCCAGTACTTAATAAACTAGAGAATCAGGTCTGAAAAAACTTGTCCTTACCTGGAGACATGGAGGAGTCATAAGAACTTCTCTCCTTGCGGTTCATCTTGAAGGCTTGGATGTCCTTTTCCCTGTATGTCCCAAAGCCTTCATAGCTCCTCCTTTTACTCCCAGTCACATCACTGTCCCACTTGTCACTCGAAGGGTTCATTTCACTGAACACGTCCAGGCTCTCTGATCTCGTACTGCCACTATCCCCACCACTGCCAGAGTATCTTTTAGTGCATGAGTCCACAGGCTCACTGCTCAAGTCACCTTTGTCCTTGGCCTGCGTCCAATGCTGAGTGTCAGAAAGTGACAGTGTAGACAGGGTGTCCACCTCAAAGCTGTTCTTAGAAGCTTTGTGGCTGGCTTCACTGTGCTGGTGTTTCTGTTTCTCCTTATGCCTGTTCTTTTCACTCACCAATGGGAGATCTTTGTCTGCGCTACTCAGCCGCTCATTCAGAATGTGGCTGGAGAAGCCTGTGGCTTTGCCTGCAAAGAGACCACTCAGGTTGTCATGGGTCCCTAAGATCCGATCTTCCTTGTGCTTATGCTTGTGTTTGTGTTTCCTCTTGTGGAGCCGACTGCTGGACAGACTGGCACTGCCCACCTTGGGAGGGTTCAGGGATGGCTGTATGTCACTGAGGCCCATGCTGACAGGTCCCTGCAGGTGAACTCCATGCTTTGCTTTATGCTTAGCTGCACCAGACATCTTTACATGGGAACTCGTATGGAACTGAGGTGGTGGCACTGTTGGCCTCATGAATGGGGAAGCTGCTCCAAGCGTGTGCGACAGGTACAAAGGAGCTGGGTACTGACCATAATAACCAAGGTTCATCATAGGCATTGATGTGTAAGGCATTCCATAGGGTGCATAGTAACTTCCACTGGGAATAGGGTAGCTGAACCCTTGTAAAAAAGGCACCTTTGTCATGGTGTCATTGGTTTTTGCAGGCCTACCACGCTTCTTCTTTGACTTCAGATCTGAAGTCCTACGAAGATAGAGCAACGGGTCATACTGGATATATGGCACCGGGTAATAGTGATCAAAATTAATCCGAAAAATGCTGGGATATGGATTCTCATGGTAAAAGGTGTAACTCCGGTGGGAGATCCTGAACACCTGGAACTTGGTGATGAGCTCTTCCAGGTCTGCCAGAAACTGGAGATCATCACGGTTTTGCAGGCTTTTCCGTTTCCTCTTGTGCTTTGGCTTCTTGAGGCTCTCGTGGGCCAGGAAGTTGTCCACAATGAGATGCTTCTGCCGGTGGCCATGCCGGTTCTTTGTGCTGGTGTCGGACGGAATGGCCTCCGGGTTGTCCAGCGAGCAGAAATCAAAAGAGTACCTCCGTCGGGACTCTGAACTCTTTTCCGCTTGGTCAGATGTGCTGTTGTTATCTGTCCCAATGCCACTGTCGCTTGGGATTGTCTCCTCACTGTGGGATTCGCTCACAGGGGACAGCGTTATTTCCTTTAGTGAGCCAATCTCACAAAGATGTGAAGGGGAGTTGGCCATCAGCCTGGGTGGGGACAGCTTCCAGGTTCCACTGTGTATTCCCTTTTGAGTTTTGGTTGGAAGAGCACTGATGGGCTGGAGATTTGGCATAGTTTTCAACTCTGAAAAATTGGTTTCAGTGCTGGCGGGGCTCAGGTTGCCATTTGACCCACCTAACTGTGTTGAAAGTGGGTGCATAGTTGCTGGTGAAGATGCCACAAGTGACTGAAAGTTGGAAGGCACGGCTGGAACATCCGGCTGGCTAGAAACAGGCCTTGGGTGCTTGATGGCTGTTTTGGGTTCTTCGGATGGGGGTGGCAGCTCTGCTCTTGGCTTCCTGCCCCTCTTCTTGCCAATGTAGATGGTTCCTCTCTTGCTGACATTAATCTGCTTGCCCAGTTTGCTTTCAATTGCTGTTGCCCCAGGGCTGGTCTCTGGGGGAGCTTTAGCTTTCAGAGCAATGTTGCTGGAGCAGGACAAGATCTGGTTCAAGATATTTTTCCTCTTGAGTGTCTTCATCTTATTGATAGTTTTGATGGTCTTCTTATCCAACACACCAAGCTTTCCAACTTTTTTGTGAAATTTCATCTCACTCATAGGTTTGTCCTCTCCTGGCACTAACTGGGCCAACTTAGCTAAATTGCGTCGTCTCTTTCTTTTCTTGGTGCCAGGAAACTCCCTGCTGATGGGACTGACTGGGCTGGTGGAAGTACCTTCATGAATTGTCTCAACTGTGAGCAAAGGCTGCTTCTTTGGTCGTCCCCGTTTCTTTTTGACTGGAGTGATCACAGTTAGACTGTCTGTGTTGGTATACAGAGGGCTGGATGGGGTGATGGGATAAGCAGACGGAGGTTCCACCATTAGTTTATCAGAGGTGGCCATGACTGCCTCTCGAAGGATACTAGTGGGTTTTGGTTTGCTGCATGTCCACCTCCGTTTTGCAGCAAATTTTGGATGTTGGATCTCTGGCAACTTTCTTGATGGAGAGTGATCTGTGCATGTTGATGGTGTCAGGACCACGGGTGGCTTCCGCTGCTTTGACACTCCTCCTGGGACAACTTTCTCAGTATTTCCACCTGTTTCAAGGCCAACTGCAGGAGATTCATTCTCTATTAGTTTACTCAACTTAGGGACACGAGGATCTTTCTTATTTCCCTCAGAGCTGGAAAGTATCCTGTTAACTACTTCACTGCTCATAGCAATTCCAGAAGCCAATGCTTTCTCTGGGATGATCTTTTCAACCACTGCTTTAATAGACTGTCTCTTTTTCCTCTTATGGCTGGTTGGATCTAGAGAGGGTGCCTTGATGGGGATAGTAATCCGAACATGACTTGAGTCATTTTCAGGATTACTGACAGAACTCATGCTTTGCCTGGCTGGTGATGCATCTTGGGCATTATCTGCCGAGTAGCCTTCTCTTTTCCCTTCTGTGTTGTCAAATGCTTTCTGGGCATTCTTGACCCAGTCTAGGTCTGGGTTTGGTATGGTTTGACTTATCACATCTTTTTTACTGGACTTTTTCTTGCTGCCTATAGTAGGTGGTTCTGGGGGCTCCTTTGTACCTCCTCCATCCTGATCTACCAAGGGCTGAAGACCATTGCATTCAGCAGAGCTGCTGGGTGGGGCTGGTGAGTTATGGTTGCTTGGGGATGGAACCACACCTCCCAGGAGCAGATCTTTGCTGTTGTTAGACAATTGACTCCACGTGCTCCCTGCACTTCCTTTCTTGCCCTGGGCCTTTGCAAAAGAAGCCACGGGCTCAAGAGCTGGGATCTTGCTGGTGCTTGCAGTTTCTCTGCCAGACTCTGGGCTGATGAAGCAGCTCTGTGTGGTGGGTCCATTGTCAGAGCTGGTGGACCAGTCCATGTGGTTCTGGCTGCTGCTTCTTTGCTGGTGCTTTGGTTTTAAGGTGTCACCGGTGAAGTCCTGTGGGAGGCCTGGGTCATAATGGAGAGTTGAGTGTTTCTGGGGCCTCTCATAAGCCTAAAGGTGGGTAGAGTGGAGAGGGAGAGAAAGAGAAAAAAGAATGAGCACCTTAGAGCTACGTAAAAGTTAATGTCAATAGTCTCAATTTTTTGATATTTGGAAACAAGTACTATGTTAACAGCTTTAATTCCAGAATGCTTTACAGTTTTCTCAATTGCAGTAGTAAAGATATATTGCACTGGTTTTGAACATTAATAAGAATGCTTTAATTGCTGTCTTGCCCTTCCAAATAACAGAAATTTTAACCTGTCTCTGTTTAATATAGTTTGAGAATAAGAATTGTTTAGAGAGGAAGGAGGGATCCCTAAAGTCACTTAGCTCAATGTCTTTATTTTGTTAAGTAATGAGGCTCAAACTTGATTAACAGAGAGTTCTGGTTAAGGAGGCAGAACCTAGGTGAGTTTGAACTTCCCAACCCCAGCATTGTTTTGCCGAATTCACAGTGCTTATTCTCTTCAAATGCATGTATTTCCCATTCATTTCAGTTACACTTTCTCCAAGAGTTCTCTGTACACAAACAAGTAGCTTATAAGGAACTACTGCAACAAGTAATAATGGCACAAGTTGAAAAAGTAAGAAGAGAAGAATGAAGACTGCACTGGGGAGAGTGGGTTGGTCAAGGACAATTTCCCAAGCCTTCAAATCTTTGTGACTTCTAAGAGTGTTGTATTTTGGGGTCAGCATGCTCTGGGAGGTTTAAACCTATTATTAGACATTTACTCTTCTCTTGATGAAACTCTTGGATAAATTAAAAGGAACCTTGAGTCTCTTAGACAAATATGCCAGGAAAAAAATCTCCATCATTCAAGGTCACTCCTCTAAACACTGATTGTAAATGAGTATCTTCAGCATCCAACTTAGGACAAATTCTTCTCTGGAAAGAAGAGAACCTGGTACTTGAGAAACAATATAGTGTTTATAAGGTCTCAAAGGAAATGGATGGTGACAATATTGTCCTGAGATATTAAAGCTATTTCATATATCCTCACCATTCCAAACAGATGTTAAGGCATGCTATTAGTACAAAGAAACATTCCTCAACACACGTTATAATTCATACACAGAGTAGTAAACTTACAGGATGCATTAGCGTAAGTTTTGTTAAAGAAGGGAAAACATTAATAAGTTGAAAAAAACTTCAGACAGTATCTCCACTGACAAGTATAAGGTGATTGGCTTAGTGAGTTTAGAAAATTTTAGCCTGTAGCATACTATTTATCTGTCTGTCTAGATATATTTCTATCTACCCACCTACCTGCCCATCATCTATCTCTTTTTGCCATTGATGCTATAGAATTTTTATGTTTTATCAGAAAACGTTTCTTAGAGTCCTTAATAAGAGTCAAAATACAGATGGCAGAAAGCATTACAGATAAAATTTATTGCAGTATCCTTCACATTAATTCCTGGAATCTCTAGGGTCATTTCCTGCTCCCTGACTTTGTGAAATTCTGTTTATAATTACAATAGTGCACTATATTTTCTAAGTATATGGGTTAGTCTCCCCAAGTTAAGGCCATAAATGCCTCAGAAGAAAATTAAGAAAATAATTTGCTTAATTTATTTTCTTCATCATGCAATTTGTAATAAACACCAACATCAACATATGAGATTAATTCAATCGGTTGAGGATGTTTAACCAAATATTACTACTATGGACATAGGTTATTTTGCCATTTTTTGGAGAAAAATATAAAAATAATATTCACAGCATTTTTACAATTATCACAATATTGTAATACATCATATGTAAAATGCTATCTACTTATCTTTTATGATTTAGGGCTCTGGTAATCCACTATTTATTCTATGGACTTTCTAGCTGGTATTATGTGCTTACTTATGGGATCACAGATCTAGAAGAGGGCTTGAAGACTAAGTTTTCTACTTCTTAGAGTGACAACGGATTACTCATACTGGGGTATTTTTGAGAGTTAGTGGAGGTGACTGTTAAAAGTTATAGTGGAATAAAAGGCATAAGCTATTATTTCAGACCTGGGCAAAACCTGGGAAAAAAAAAAAAGAAAAGAAAAGAAAAAGAAAGGCATAAACTATTATTTTAGACCTGGGCAAAACAGGTCTTCTGGTTGCCCTTTTCTCCAACCCCACTGCTTGTCTAGTGCAGAACACTGATTTCTGCAGAGGGGCTTCGTGGTTAAGTTAGGGCTGGAATTTGGGTCTCTAGTATTCTATCTTCTTATTCTCGGCACCTAGGAGAGACTCTAACACTTTCTTCATATTTTGATCTTTCAATTCTAGGGAAGCCCTAATATCATATAAAGCACTCATGTTATAATCTTCATAAAACCATGTATCTTATCTTTGCACTTATTATTGTTTTACTTTCACATTTGATTTGTGTATTAATTGAACAAAATGTTTACTTTCTTCTATGGCTTATTTGTAAATACTTACACAGAGGTAGCAAGCACAAGGCTAGGTACATAGGAGGCATGTCATAAACACTTATTGAATGAATACAGTAACATATATTCTACTACTTTTCATTTCACCGATAGAGAGGTTAACCTATATGTTGTTAATATATTGTCTACAATCAAAGTCACCTCCTCCACTTAATTTGGGCCATACCTTTTGTATACACCATAAAGACATCTACCACAGTCCTTACAGAGTTATTTTTACAATTTTATCTCCTCATAGACTGTAAGTACTTTGAGAGGTCAGAGAATGTTTTACTTATCTTCTTATCCCCAAGGCCTACTACAATGTCAAGCACTCAGAAAGTTCTGTTTGTTGAATTAATGAATAAAAGAATGGATCAGGTGCCTGCCTATTATCAAAGCAAATTATATGGCTGAATGCAAAAGACTAGACACTACCAATCTTTTGTTTGATAATGGCTCATAATATAATTGGAGCACTGAAATGCATTAGGTGTTGAACAAAAAAATCCTTCCCAAATACTTAAGGACTAAAGACACTTATTAAGGTAACTCCCCTTCGATGCAATTTTTACTGTTAGATTTTCTCCACCTCCTGTTAATTGTTTCAGTTTCCAATTAATTATGTCTTTGGGGAAGGCCATATGATTGTCAGGAGGGTGGATTTCACCCTGGCAATTGAAAGGTGGGGCCTGCTCACTGACACCCAGGGCAGACCAGCTGAGAGTAATGCAGTTAAGCATGCCTTCCCAGTGGCTCCTCTGGACCACTGCCTGATCCCATTGTTCCTACCATTTCAGCTGCAATTTGCCCCGCTGGGAGAGCTCAGCAATCAAAGGGCAGAGTGGACAAAAGGGAAGCACAACAAAGGATCAGGAGTAATGGGGGGAAATGGTGCTTTAAACCCTTCACTCAGACTGCTGCAGGGAATGGGGAGACAGGACCCTGAAGAAGCTCTTTCAATGAGATTGTGAGAACAAGGCTGCCCCCAGCCTTGGCTGATGGCTATATCCCATTGCATTTCACGAAATCCCAATTCTTCCTCTGTCAGCCATGACATATTATATACACAATAGTGAGGCTGTCAGTTCCAATATGTCCTTTGGTGAGAATTGAGCTCTTACTCCATCCAGACAGAGATGGACAAGCCAAGTTGTGAGAAAAGATGAGGTGCTCCCACTACCATCTTTTTTTTTTTTTTTTTTTTTCCTGAGAGGTCTGGGGATTTCATTTCTTATTAGGGTTTTGTTTTTATTAACTCATGCAGTACATGGCTCCTTCCCCTTAGATTGAATGTTTTTATTTTTAACTTTTTTATTTTTAAAGACTTGAGTTTTTCAAGGCCTTTATATCACCCTTAGCTCTCAGCATGTCTTTCTCCTAAAACAGCAAATAAGGAACAGTTAACAATATTTTGCATAAGGCTCATAATGTGTATGGAAAACTTTCTTTCTGTATTGATTTTAGCCATAAGAGAAAGAGAGAAAGGCAGTTCCAACAAGGTCTTCAAGCCATGATCAACTCCCAGTCTCAGCTGGCTCAGGCCATAGCACATGAGCATGCATACAGTGTGCACAGGGAGGTTCCCAGATGCAAACCCAGGAGCTTTCCATGGGGGTTCAACTGTGCCACCATTGTGACACTGCCTGGTTCTGGAAAAATTTATTTTTGTTAATCTCAAGGGGTTATGTACACCCACCAGAGAGAAACAGGGAGAAAGTACCCTACTATGGGGCATGATCACTCCACAATCCCTTCTCCTCCATTTCTCCATCTATTTGGAACTTTGGGTACACTCACACAAGCATGGCATGTTTCTGAAGTCACGGGGTCTGGGATTCAAACCGCTGTTGTCTACATGGGATTCAGCTCCCTTAGCCACTCGGCTATGGGACTCATCCTGGGAAACTTTTAATACCAAACTAAGTTCAGGATGTTTCTTTGCTGTGTGAAACTCATAGTTATTTTGAAGGTGTGATTCACTATTATAAGAAAAGTATTTTCCTGGTGAAGTGGTTGGGGTCGCTGGACTCCCACATGGCTGACCATGGTTTGGGGCCTGGACCTGGTGGCTTGCTTTCTCTCTCTCCCCCATCCCAACCCTGGTCAAATTAAAAATAAAGTTAAATAAAGTAATTCTTTTTTTTTTTTTTTTAAGAGAGGTTTTTGCTATAGGGCACGTGCACTCGCCAGACAGACAGAGATAGACAGAGAGACAGAAAGCGAGAAATCACCCCCCAGGGGGATGACCACACCGCAATCCCTTCTCCTCCATTCTCTTCTTGGGATCTTGGGCACGCACGCACATGCACCTGGCGTGAGACTCGAACCGCGGTCGACTATGTGAGAATCCAGTGACATAGACATTAAACTAACTGCTGGTCTCAATAAAGCAATTCTTAAAAAAAAAAAAAGTGTTTTCCATGCACATAGGCTAAATGTTTGTCAATGAAACTGAGAAAAAACTAGACAGATTTGTTCTTAAGGATATCTTATGGATCAAGTCCTGTAATGTGAAGAATTCTTTTGTATATAAATATTCCCTCCCCCTCCAAAATTATGTATAAATCATATATATATATAAATTTTGTA